ATACTATATACCCCTAAAAAAAAATCCCCCAACCCAAAAAACAACAACCAACACTCCTTAATTGCAATTGTGCTTTCCTCCAGCTGAGGATGAACAGGAGCTTCCAGTATTCCTTATCATTGGCTAGCCCTGCCAGGGATGCTGGGAAGTGCAGTCCACCTGCATCTTCTTCTTAAGGACCAGGCTCAGAGGAGATGAGGAGGACGGTTCGGGTGTTGCGTGGGGAACCGCCAGGGGGCGCGCGCGTGCGAGCGAGCGCAGGCGTTGGGAGTCCCTGCGGTGGCTTAAGAAGCCCTTTCTTTCATGGAGGTCGCCCAAGAGTTCAGTCCAGTAGCCACAGGAGAGAAAGAGAAGGAAAGGAGGGAGCCAGCAGCCATGGCTCATGGCAACCCAGTGGTGAGGGTGAAGGGGGAGAGGAGGAGGAGGAAGGAGAGGTTGAAAGGCCAGACTTTATTTATTTATCTTATTAAGGGATACTGGCAAACTTCCTTGGAAGAGTCAATGGTGGCTGTTGGGTGCCTTCAAGTGGTTTCTGACTAATGGAGACAACTATCATGGGAGGGAGGTTTGGCCTTGCCTTCCCCTGAGGCTGAGAGGGTGTGACTATCCCAAGGTCACCCAGGGGTTTTTCCCATGTCAATGTACTTTAAAATGAAGAAGAAAGAATGGAGACTGTTGTTGTTAGAATGACTGTTTCTAACACAAGGATATTGTAGCAACTTTGAGAACAACTGTGGGAAAGGTGTTGTAGCACAAGCGTTCATATAGAGTAGGTCTGTTGTTGTTGTTGTTGTGTGGCTTCAAGTTGTTTCTGACTTACGGAGACTGTAAGGAGACCCTATCCTGGGGTTTTCTTGGCCACATTTGTTCAGAGGAGGTTTGCCATGGCCTTCCCCTGAGGCTGAGAGAGTGCAACTTGCCCAAGGTCATCCAGTGGGTTTCATATAAAAAAACAATGTCAGCTGCTTGTTGTTTTTGTTGTTGGGTGCCTTCAAGTCATTTCCAGCTTATGGTGACCCCAAGGTGAACCTATCATGGGATTTTCCTGGCCACATTTATTCAGAGGTTTGCCATGGCCTTCCCCTGAGGCTGAGAGAATGTGACTTGCCCACATTCACCCAGTGGGTTTCATATAAAAAAAGAATGGAGACTGTTGTTGTGTCCCTTTCCAATTTACAGAGACCCCAAGGTTTTTTTCTTGTCAGGAATTGTTCAGAGGAGGTTTGCCATTGCCTTCCCCTGAGGCTGAGAGAGTGTGACTTGCCCAAGGTCACCCAGTAGGTTTCATGGCCAAGTGGAGAATCACACTCTGGCCTGGCTATTCATTGACTCACTCCCAGGAGGTTGGGATTAAAGCAGCCCCTGCTTTATTCTTTGCACCCCACCTCATCTCTTGGTTTTTGCATTGGGCTGTGTGTGTGTTTATGTGTGTAAAACAGAGAAAAACATACACACACACACATATTGTGCAGGTTATGGAATTTGCTTATGTTAAATACAGCAGTGCTTGGAGCAAGTTAGACATAACTTGTTTGTTGTTGTAGTGGTGGTGGTGTGCCTTCAGATCATTTCCGACTGATGGCGACCTTAAGGCGACTCTATCTTGGGGCTTTCTTGGCAAGATTTGTTCAGAGGAGGTTTGCCATGGCCTTCCCCTGAGGCTGAGAGAGTATGACTCAACCAGTGTCACCTAGTGGGTTTCATGGTCAACCTGGGAATCAAATCCTGGTCTCCAGAGTTGTAGTCCAATACTCAAACCACTACGCCACGCTAGCCCTCAAATCAGCTTTGACTAGTGGTGACGCTAACTATACATGGCAGGGGGTTGGACTGGATGGCCCTTTTGGTCTCTTCCAACTCTGATTCTATCATCTCCAAAAGTTCTTGTTATTAACAGCCTTTCTCAGCTCTTGCATACTAAGGGCCTAAGCAGACTGCCAGAAATAGTGCACATTAAATT